GCAGTCGACCGGAGAAGAATCGTACGTTTCTGTCAGCCTTGGCAGCTGGCAAACTGGCAAAAGTCGCACCTCACCTTTCACGTCCATGCCACAGGCCATATGAGCTTTCGGCACCCGGTTTGAATGGGTACATGCCCCTTGCCTTGACCCAGCCTGCAGAGGCGGCCGCCCAATCACTTGATCTCTCGTGCGTGAGCATACACATCTCGTCTTCCAATACCGTTCAAGGCAGATTATTTCAGAAAGGGGGCAAGGCGCTCATTGTTTGCTAGCGACATCGTTCCGAAAGCTCCCATGAAAAAAAGCTTTGTCCAGTTCTAAATCGGTGTTGTGCTGCATTAGGGCGGACGCTGGGCGGGCCACCATCGAAGCCATCTATGCTACTGTAAATGAAGTGGACACCTGGCGGGATAGTGGCTACGTGCAGCTGACGCATGTACAATTTCAGGTGTTACGTGCCATGCGCCACCAGCTTTCCAAGCGCAGCGATGGCCCTGACACCAGCTCGCGTGGTTCCACGCCAACCTCACCATCACACACCTCAGCACTTGGTGGTGTAGCTAACGAAAAGCATCCGTATGACAGCATGTCGGCTGTGCGTCGGCCTTCAGCACCTCCCTCGTCAGACCTTGTCGTGGACGAGCATGGCTATGTACGCCTTCGGGATCCGACTGGCGATGGCCTTGGACAGCCGATGGCCGACCCCGTCAGTCTCGACGCGGCAGAGAAGGATGAGGATGGATATGTCAAGCTCGTACAGCCTGGCGGCGTTGTCGTTCAACACGCTCTCAATGGCGGCTATGATAATGTCGATGAATTGCTTGGGTCCGACCAACGACCAGGTTGCCATGCACGCAGTTTCGTTTCACACGTGCATTCATCAACGTCGCCGTATGCTACCATTGGCAGCGAGTCTACAGCGGTAAATCAGGTGCGCGCTGTTAGTCTCGAGAGCCTGCCACGCGCTGTAACTGCATCCCCCACCTACGAGACCGTGGCCAGCCGCCCTGCAGCGCGAACACCGCTGCATACGTCGACCGAATCCTTGCAAGCTTTGCGATCACTTCGTTCCAGCCGGCCTGGAAGCAGCTTGGCTGCTCATAGCGAACCTGATTTGTCTTCTTCGGCTAATGCATCGCCGCTCATGGGCCGTGCCCTGCGTGGGGTTTGTGCCCAACCAAATCGTTCTCCTATTTTGCCGCAACGCAAGCTTCCTGGCAGCGCCACACGCCTGCTCATCCCCAATCCTAGCAGGTCCACTGAGTGGCAGCGTGGTCACCGGCGTGCACATTCCGACAGTGACAGCTTGGTGGGCAGCCCCAGAAATGATGCCTTGCGACAGCTCGCTCACCTTGCCGGCCACGATCATTCGAAAACAATGGCGTCCAGCACCTCAGAGCAAGGGCTGGCTCGACGAAATGTACCGGCAAGCGAGCGTCCAGTCCAGCGCACTCAGCAGTCCCCTGCGCCGGCCCCTCAGCCTTTGGATGCCGCTGCACGCTCTGAGAGCACCGAGAAGCTTACGCGACAGGCCATCGCAAAGCATGCGTCGAGTCCACGCAGCTCGCCTCCTCATAGCCAGCAGGAGTTCCGACCAGAACCACGGCACCACTCGGTGCACGGGACAGTATCCAACCCCACATTGCCTGCTAGTGCCCACCCACGCACCCGGTCAACCCATGAACGCCTGAACCATTTTGGTAAACCCATGGTGCGGCAACTCTCGGTATGTTGTGCGATCCCACAGCCCACTGCTAATTCTGCGCGCCTATTCATCGATCCATCGTCGTTGGCGCGTCCATTGCTGGGCGTGTAGCAAACGCTTTCCACACCGGACGCAGCAGAAGACCGCCCCAGTCGCACGGCGTTCAACGTGGGCCAGCTCCAGCGTGAGTCCCGAATCCACCTTGCGTTGGCGCACACGCCCTTAGCACGCTTCCCGCCAAGAGCCAGTCGATTTTCCCGATGCCATAGCCCCACTCACGAGCTGCGGTCTTCTTTGTGGGGTGTCTTTCCCACAGACTTGGCGCGACTGCCGCGCCTGTATATCCATCAATTCTCGCACGTTTACACGGGTATGGGTTTGCTCTTGCACAGCCTTTCTCCATTCACTCTATTTCGTTGGATGGCGTGTTTTGTGCGTTCAATTTTATGAGGTCCGTTCATCATGGGCGGGTTTGCTGCCTGTCTCTGATCGTGCCTTGCAGACCATCCGCAGGGACTTGGGGCCGTGTTGAGTACACCACAAGGCTTGACAACGGTGGTTCTTCCATCCACAAAGAATTCCAAGCCTTGCTTTTGCGTTGCTGATGCATCAGACACCCCTTTGTTCAGTTTCGTCTTGGACGGTGCGATATCAGTGATCGTTGCATCGAGCGTCTTTTCTATGTTCGGGCCTTCCCTTGATCCCTCACAGTTGGTTCTGAATGCACACTTAGGTGACAGCAAAGGCTTGAACGGGGTCATTATGGGCCATAATGTAAGGGATCATTGATGATTTATGGCGCAAGGCAAATGAACTTAGTGCCTCAAGTCGGGCACATTCCGTGGGCGATTTTAGTGTCACGAAGGACCGTGTGCTCATCGAGACTGCTGTGCATACGGTTAATTATTGCTATAGGGACCCATGGGCATGGTTTTGCCACGCAGCGACTGGCTTGGTCGTCAAGCCAGTGTTCGCGTCAGCTTCAACCCGCAGCACAAGCTCGGCCTCGCGCAGCTGACCAAATTTCGAACTGGCGTACGTGTCATGGATGCATATTTTTTCCCATCTAAGTTGTACATTATGAGAGGAGCGTGGCTGACACCTCATTGTCGCATGGCAACTTCTGTCATGGCTTCTCTACCGTCTTGGCTTTTCGGTGCTCGTGGACAGTTGGGCGCCACTATTTCGGATCTGCCTGCCACTTTTCCCATGCGGCTTTTTCCAACAGCCTTTGATCACTACAAGGTCAGGCGATGGAGCTTATGGTGCTGACGGGGCAGGGATTAAAACGAATTGCCACTTCTTCGTGGCCTTGTTTGGAACTGCACCTTCCCTTCCTCATTTCCTGATTTTGATTCAGATCGAGCAGCGGGTTCGAAAGCAGGAATGGATTTCTTGCGGCATCATTCAGATTTTTGAGGTGGCAGGACAACGTACGTGTCCACATGTATCAGGACCGTATGACCAAGCCAGGAGTTCGATGCCCTTGCGCGAATCCGCCTTGGATCACTTGGGCTGCTGGAGCCGCTATAGCTGTTCCGCTCTTCACCTTACATGGTTATGTGGCCACAGGTGTATGGGACGTGAATTTTCCACAGCTTGATCTGGAATGTCGCACCATGGTCCTGGCTGCATGCTTCCTCTTGCGCTGGACTGATGTAAGTGTCGTTTTTTAAGCTGATCAATTTGGGCAGTGGAATGGCACACTTGGACGTTCAAATCTCCCAGGGGCGCTCGGCGCCCCCCTCCGCGTGACGGTCGTTTCGGCGCGTGAGAGTGTGTGCCATTGATGCTCATGAGTTTGGTTTGGGTGCATTGCTTTCGTGACAGAAAACGGCAACTGAGGTGCCACTGCGCAGTGTTGCGGACGCCGCTGAAGCCGACGCGTTTGCTTGAGAGCCTAAAAGAATGATAATGTATATGAACAGGGTAACCGAAAAGTTATATCAACCAAAAACCAAGCAGAACAGGTCTTCGAGCAAGATGAACAACAAGTTGGACGTTGTTTTTGCCAAAAACGGTGTCAAAGCCATTTCGAATGAAAGGGGCAACAGACTTGCGTTTGATGAATCACGCCAATCGGCCTGTTTCGGAAAGCGCCGGTTTCTCGCCGAGCGAGTGCCAGTGCAACATTGCTGTGGTGTGCTTGCAACCGATGCTGGGCGAGACCAAATAAACGGGGCGCGTGGCATCAAGAAGCGCCTGTTGTGCCTGTGTTGTACGAAACCCAGTATTGAGATGATAAAATCCCACGAGTGCGAACGAAATTGACTGAAAACAGAAAATCTGTAGGATCTTTTCTCGCCAAGGCTGCTGTACCTTGAAACTTTGGACTTCACTCCAGGCCACGGTTTCCGAAACGTAGACAATGACAGCATCGGCCTCAAGCGCATCACTACTCCCGCTTGAGCCCATAAGGTTTCCCCAAAGGCCAGCGGCAGCACCAAACACGTCCTGACCTCCAGTGGACTGCGACGACACAATGTACCAAAAAATTGACAAATGGTGAGTGCCAGGCCCAAACCAGCGAAGTTGACGAGAAGGGTCATCAACGAGGTTTGTACCAACCTTGGCTTCAAGACCAGAAGGCAAACGGCCAGCCAGAGCAGCTTGAAACACCTGCGCAATAACACAGCAGAGCTGGCCAAGTGACAAAAACATTGCACAGACAGGCTAAATAGAGGTCCACACAACGCCAAACTTACACGTGGCAACACGGGTTGATACATGCCGTGCGCATCCTGAGCCGTGGTCAGAGCTGGGTGCTGGTTCTTGATCCGGCATGCTCTTCGCCACTAAGCAAGCAACAACATGATGAATGTGGGACTGTGCGAGCGTGGGCTGAGTGGCCTGTTGTGGTGTGTGTGAGTGACTTGGTGTTCGTCCAAGGATAGCTGCTCGACCTACTAAATCAAGTACTCGGGCGGTCGCCTCTTTGTGTAAATCGTCAAACGCAAGAGCCGCGGCATTTGGGGATTCGCGCTGCAGGCCACTGGTCAACACGAACGCAAATTGACGTAGGGCTTCTGATTCAAGAGCGGTCAATGTCGCCTTTGAGGGAACCCAGGTCATGATTTCGTTGAGGGTGGGGGTGTGAGGCGGACATCGGATGAACAAAGCGCGCATACTAAGCTGCTGCAAAGACCTTGGCGGCCTCCAGACACCGGGTCGACATGGCCTGGAAACCTACCGCAGGAAGAAACGAAAACCAGCTGACGAGTAGCTGCAAAACGCGTGAGGCGGGCAACTGCTTGCCCGGAGCTCCTACGATGGCATCGTAACACACATTGAGACAGGATCGGGAAGCGATGCGAGAATGCTTTTGGGGAGGTGGCGGAACTGTACCGTCGGCCGAGACAGCAATCATATCGGTTAATTGGGAAAGAACCTCTGGTTCGTTACCCAGGGGCGTGAGGAGAGTGCGCTCGGCTGTGCTAAGTTGCACCGCCTCGGGAGTCTGATGCATGACCTATAACCCCATTTGGCGTGTGGTTAGTGTGAGGAAGTGAAGTAAGGCCAAACACTCTGCGAGAATGTGAGCTGAACAGTGACCTGGTTCAGTAGCAAGCGAGCTTGTTGCTGTCCCACGACAGCATCACCCTGTGTAGCCAGTTCGGAGATTGAGCTGGGTGTACTGGGTGTGCCCAGCGCTGTCTTGGCGCGTTGCTGTCGTTGGGGCGCGGTCCCACACGCAAGACGCAGAGTAAGATTGCATTGGGAAGACAAGAAGAAAACATCATTTGGAGACATACAGCGTTGCTGGCAAGACAAAGTGCTTCCAGGCTAGGTCCATCGAGAGCAGAAAGTCGAGCAGCAGCAGGTGCTGCATCGGCTTGGTACTATGGTAAAGGGCCCATGATAGTGTGTGAGGCAGGGTGGACATGAGTTTCGCGCGACTTGGTGTGGGGACTTCGGCACGCCGTTGAGCACCCTGATGGCGTACCACGCGATCCGAGCTACACATGGAAGCTGGCAACATGTGAGTGGCCAAGTTGTCGCCGAGCGAAGCAACACTCATCAAGGCCGTGGCCATATCGAGCGCGCGATCGAGCAGGAGGACGGCGATCTTGTGGCGAGCATGGGCCTGAGGGGTGAAGGAGCGCACAAAATCATCGCAAGTACGGTGCCAAGTAGCGTCTCCGGCAGCATGGGCGGTAAGTTCGCGTGCTTGGAGTAGATGAAGCAGATTGGCAAGCTGGGTCAGAGTCCCTTGTGGTGCACAGGCTGCAGCGCCAGGGAGGGTAAAAATGCCCGGCACCGGTTCCGCAGCGGGTACAATGTTGTTCAAGTTGACGACTGTGAGGCTGCTGATGTTGACGCCAAGCAATGTGAGGTGTTCCTGTAAAGTGGCATGATCCAACTGGCCCGTAGCACTTGTGCTGCCCGGGGGCGCAACGAGGAGCACGTTGGCGTGTTCAATGTCAAGGCTGGAGGCGGAGGGCGAGCAAGGCATTCGGCAGACGGGCTGCTGATGCGCATCGATCGTCACGACCACACATGCAGAGGCCCACTTCAAAGGCATCTTGAGCGGGAAGTCCTGGCAACAAAGCAGCAGACGATGGCAATTCATCAGCACCATCAAGGTGAGCGCGCAGCCGGGGGATGTAGCGTCGCGCGCGAAAGAGGGCAGGCTGTGAGCATGGCGACCCGTACCCCAAGTTCCACAACATGGGCTTGTGTGGTGGTGAGAAGAAACTCGGTGCCCACACTCCACCGCAGCAGCTCAGCAGCCACGGGGTCAAGCAGCAACAGCTCACAGGAGCGGCTATGCTTCCCCACGGCCGACCAAAGCCGCAGGTGCTGCTGCCCGACGTCCAGTTCCGGTCCCTCTGCCATGGTCTCACACAACGAGCAAAACACGCCCTTTTGCAGAAAGCATTCGAGTTAACAACGGCGTAGGTATACTTGTTGATACGTTTATGCTGTTTAATGTCGTTTTATTAATGTCGATTGAGTTAATTCGTGTCATAAAATATATAGTTAATGTAGCATCAAGAACAGTTTGTGTGGGAAACTTACATGTTGTAGAAGTATTTATGTTGTTGTGGTGGTGGTTCGTGGATCATCATCATTCAAAGTGGGCGAGCTGCAGACGGACCAGGAGGTCTCCCGTTAGTCCCGGCGTGCAAGTGCCTGTGTGGTGGACTGTGGAAGGACTGGGTAGATCGAAACGAATGGGGATGGCTGATGCAGCAGAGGCACAGCTGGATGCGGCGCAGAAGCTGGCGCTGCAGCGCCTGCGCGAGTACATCCCAGCCGATGAGGCGCTCGGTGAGGTACAGCGACAACGTATGCGCTGCTTTCGCGTCACGTACTTGGGTGGCACGCCCGTCTCCTCTGGTATGATTAGCGCCAAGCTGTGGGAAATGATGGGCAGCGATATCATTGCCTCTGTGACCAAAAAACTCAAGAAGCAGCGCGTGCGCGAGATCACCGCCTACCTCACTGTCTCCCGCTCCGGGTTTGAGGTCGGTTTGTTGTGTTGCTCGCTTGCCAAGGTTGCGTTTGCTTTGCCTGTGCTGAGCCAGCAGCCAATGGTTATGGAGACTGGCTTTCGTGTCCCTTGCTCTGGATTTGGCTCTGTGTTTCTTTCCTTCTTTTACAGCTGTTGCCTCATCTCACGGTTGAGTCTCACAGCTGGACGACGGCAATGATACGCTGGCGCTCGAGCCGCTGAGCGCCGTGCAGTTTGTGCAAGCCGATGCCAGCGATGCTCGCAAAATGTCCTACGTCTGCTATTATCCGCGCCTCGGCATCCTCTATTGCCATCTCGTCACGGTACGTGATTACCAGTGCTCCACGTTCAATCCATGCCTGGCGCCGCGCTTGCCACTTAATTTCAACCGCCCGCTTTGCCATTGATTGATGGTTGCCGCTTTAGGTCAAGCAACGTTCTGACGCCCCCGTGGTTCACATGGCCGTGGACGAGCTGCGCGCCTGGCATCAAGAGTGAGTTTGAGATCAGAGTTTCATGAGTGACTGTTGGCCAAGCGTTATGCAACTACGTAGTCTTCCTCCTCATTGGAGTGCGCCTGGGGTCTTCATGCTTTCAGCGTCATGGCTTTGCCTCGACAACGGCTCGAGTTTACCGCCACCCGTGACCCCAGTGCCAAACAACGCGCCCAGCAGCTTCATGACATTGCGGGCCAAGTCATTGGCATCGGCGAAGTAGCCCACACCTTGTCCTTTCCCGTACAACTGGTGCGTCGTGCACCAATCTCATACGCCTTTGAGAAGACATTTCTTTGATGCCGTTTTGAACCATTCTTGCAGCTCATGGCTTGTCTCCTGCCACGGAGATAGGATGACCTGCAAGCTGCCATTGCCCGCGGCGAGGCCGAGGCATGCCAAGTGCTTGTTGCCAACTACATGGCACAAGTGCAAGGCCGCAGCGTTTCCACGAGCGCCAGCCCCCGTCGTAGCCTTCGCCGCCGTAGCTCGACTTCCAGTGCACTCAAAGCCATTCGCCAAGACAGCCGCCACGTCGTTGTCATTGTTTCCAGTGAAGCATTGCGCGTCATCGACAGTCGATCACGCGAGGAAACCATGCGCCACTTCCTGCCGGTCAGCCAGAATTGCTCATTTTAATGCCGTGAAACATTGGGCTGCACATTTCTTGTTCAGCATTGACCAGGGCTAATCCGCTGCGCCTGGGACCACCACGGGCGCAGAGTCTCCAACTATTTGCAATTGTCAACCTCGACCGCAAGGCCTCTGCGGCCGTAGCTATACTGGCGGTGGATGAGCACATGGAGGCGCTTACGATGCACGTCTTTGAGGCCGATTCGGCTGCTGATGCTCAAGACCTACTTGAGAAGGTTTGTGAGGGACCTTTCAAATCTTTTGCAAACCCAGTCTCTCGTTCTCTGGCCAACATGTTCTCCATTCAGATCTGACCTTGATGCTTTGAATTGTACACCCACACGGATTTAGATCAGCAAGGCTGTTTCAGCACAACGACAGATGGATCAGATTGTGGGTGACACCCCGTTCATGGCCATGGCGCGGTTCCAGGGCATCATCAACAATTCGCTCAAGGAGCTCGAGCTCGAGCGTGCATCCGTGCGACCCCTCAAAGCGATTGGATCGGGACAGGTTCGCATCGATTCGAAGAAGGTTCCCTTTGTCTGGTGGTATGCGCCATGTTGTGGGTGTTCAGAGGCTCATAGTGCTGCGCTGACACCACCACACCGCATATCAATGTGTCATGTAGTTTGGGGTGGTCTTTCGGGCCCAACGCACTGTGGATAGCGGGGCCACCACGTTGTGTGCTGTCAAAATGCTTCGCAAGGGCACGCCGCAGGAGGACTTTTTGAGCTTTCTGCAAGAGGCTGAGATTATGGCTCAGTTTCAGCACCCTCATGTCGTTGAGCTGCAAGGAGTCTGTCTGCAAGAGCAGCCCTGGCTCTTGATTCAGGAGCTTTCAAGGTTTGGCACGAGCCCGACCGAGCCAGGCTATGCAACTCATTGGCAAGTGGCCCCTCACTTGGCGGGTCATGACCTCTTTTTGGGCACTAGTTATGGAGACTTTGACAACGTCTTACGCACGGCACGCATGCGAGATATGGCCTTGACTCAGACTGAAGCCCTGCACTTTATCAACCAGGTTAGATGGCATCAAAGGAGAACAGAGGAGAAGGAGGAGGAAATCGCGTCTTTGTGTGCGCGCGAAAAGGGCTGGGCAGACATTTTTGGTGCGCTCACCATTCTCCACTTTTATTTGCAAATCGTAGCTGGCGGCAGCCTGCTCCTATGTTCTGAGCAAAGGTGTTCTTCATCTCGACATTGCTGCACGCAACTTGCTTCTTTTTGAAAGGTCAGCTGACAAGTTTTGTCCTTTTTCGTTCTGCCGTACACCAGGTGCCCGCCTGACTGCATACTGCCATACTGGCATCTTATTGTTTGCTGCAGGAACACACTAAAGTTGGCTGACTTTGGGAATGCCCGGCAGTTGCCTCAAGGCAAAAAGTACATTCAGTTGGAGGAGCCACCAAAAGTTGCCGCACGCTGGCTTGCTGTTGAAGCAATGACACAACTCCGGTTTAGCGAGGCTAGCGATGTTTGGGCTGCTGCTGTAGCAGCGTGGGAAATTCTTTCCATGGTGCGTTTCCACCGTACCATGTGCACTCTCCTCGCCTCTCCTTTCAAGTAACTTTGAGTTCACGTGCGCGGGCGCCTGCGTTGTGTTGGCAGGGGACCAAGCCCTACCCGGACACACACTTTTTGCAAGTCATGCGCGTTGTCGTTGCGGGTGAGCGGTTACCGCAAACCGAACTGTGCAGCGATGATCTGTATGCATTGCTTCTCAAATGCTGGGATGTTAAGCCCGACCGTCGCCCCAGCTTTGCCGACCTCTTGACAAAGGTCACCAAGCTTTTAAGAAGTAGCCCCGAGCCTCTCACGCGTGATGTGGGGCACGAAATTCGGGGTCATATCCATGCCAAGAGTCGGCGCGTCATCCCTGCCGCTGAATAAGGGTGGAAGGAGAGGGTTGGTCTCTGAAGGCGGCGTTCTGTTGTATTTATCATGTATCCACTGTACTCACATGTCAAATCATGTCTTTATGAACTCACATGTCAAGGAGCTTCTTTGATTGCAGTCGCAACTGTGTTGAAAATCGATTGGCAATTGTCCCGTGTGGCAAAACGATGCAAACAGCAACCACACAGTCAAAGTCGTCCCAACACAGCTAAAAGTTGCACAATGCCGAAGAAAAGTTCAGAGCAAGCAAATGGGGAAGCACAAAAACTGAGCAAGGAGAGGTGAAATCCCAGGCAAGAGAAGGAAGGCAAGTGAAAATGGGGGAAAACTAACACGAACGGCACACAGTATTGACACATCATCGTGGAGTGTTTCAGGTAAGAGCTTCGAGGACGAGGAAAACGAAAACAGTGCAGACAAGAACGGAGTCGTGAAAAAACAATCAAACATTCAAGAAAAAAAAAGGAAAAGAACCGAGGGACGGGTGGGTAAATGATGTGGATCGAGTCAGGAGAACACGTGCTTTGTGGTTTACTGACGCGGAGGAACAATGATCATAGCCTCGCGCGCTGGGCCAACACCAATCCACTTGACAGGGACACCGCTCAACTCTTCGACTTTGCGAACATAAGCCTGGGCCTGTGTGGGCAGGGCTTCAAAGTCGCGAATCTCAGAAATGTTGGTCTGCCAGCCAGGCATGTCAACGTACTCAACCTCGACCTCATTCAGAACCTGCTGTGATGCAGGCATGCCCAGCAGCGCCTCTCCGCCCTTCTTGTACGCGACGGCAATCTTGATTGTCTCCAGCTCATCCAACACATCCAACTTCGTCAAGCAGATTCTGCACGAAAACGGAGGTCATGGAAGGTGGTTCATGCATGAGGGAGCGTCGGGCCACGATCAAAGAGTTGTGATGGCTGAAACAATGGAGTCAAACGCACTTGGTGACGCCATTGATCATGCAAGCATAGTTGACCACCATCATATCGAGCCAGCCGCAGCGACGCTTGCGCCCCGTGGTCACACCATATTCATGGCCCTTGGTTTGAAGGTAGTTGCCAACCTCCTGCAAAGGTCCCCCAGGCCAAACACAAAAGCGGGCCAATGGTCAAATGCAATGGCGCGGAGCGGCAAAGTGAAGCAGGCGCGGCCAATTGGAAGTGGGAAGACAGCTTGTACCAACCGCAAAGTCTTCAGTGGGGAAAGCGCCATCACCAACTCGCGTGGTGTATGCCTTGACAACGCCGTAGACCTGTTCATCAATGATGAGAGGTGAATTTGAAAAGTAACAACCCCAAGGAAAAAAAAAAAAATTGCCGAAATTCCTCCTGTCCTCCGTCCTCTCAAGAACAAGGCCAGATTGACAGATCAAGGTGATAGCCCTAGCCTGGATGCAGGTGCAACGCCGGTACTTACATCACCAACGGCTTGCGGAGGCAAACCCAGGCCGGTACAAATGCCACCCACACAGCAGCTAACCCCAAAGAGACCCCAGGTAAGTCCCATGAGACTTGAACACCTTCCTTTGAAGTGCGCTGGAATTTCCTCAATCAACTGACCTTGAGGAGGTGACGTAGGGATAAGTACCAAAATCAAGATCCAGCATGGTTGCATTGGCACCTGTGCACATCGAGCAATGGGTCGTTACACTGATGTCGAGGCGGCGGGGCATTGAACTAGCTCTGCAACGCGACGCTGAAAGAAAATTTGCCTGCGCCATACCTTCTAAAAGGACACGCTTGTTCTCCTTGAGGTAGCGGTGGACCAAAAGGGTGGTGTCGGTAACCATGGGTCGCACTTTCTCGGCTAAAAAAGGTCCGGCCGGTCAACAACAAAACGAAAGAGGGTCATCAGCCTGGCGCGGTGATGCTCAAGTATAGCGCAAATGATCTTAAGAATTGGGAAGAGCTTTGGAAAAGAGTGCAAGGGAGCAGCCTGTGCACTTGAGGCAAGGGAGAGCGGGGGGAAACAGGCGTACCGTATCCTTCAAAGGCCTTGAGCTGAGCATCCACATCCACTTCAAGAGAAGGAAACAACTTTTGGTAGTGCTCCACGACTTGCAAAAACTTTTCTGTGGTGTTCCATCAGCAGGACCGTGAGCATTCTTGCGTGGGTCAGCAGGCTCTTGACTTGGGAAGATCATGTCACCACAGTGCGCAGGGACCAACGCTTGAAGATGCCAAAGTCGCCCATGAGATCGCAAACGCGCAGGCCGTGACGAATAGCCTGACAATAGTCATGGGCATGAAGGCATTGCGTGGTTCGCGTGAGGGGAAGGCGCAGTATTCAGTCAGATCTATGTCATGCTAGGCGCACCTTGGACGAGTAGGTTGGACCAATACCCTTCTTGGTGGTGCCAATTTTATCCAGCCCACGTTCTTCTTCCTTCATACCATCCACTTTCTGTCAAACGGGGCGGGTGGTTACGCGGGTCGAGAGTCAGATGAGCACGAGGTGCAGTGGGGTGAGCAATCAGAGCTGGGCCTAAGCGAGGCCAACCAACTTGGTGCAGGTCAAGAACGAGGTGGGCACGGTCAGAGATCTTCAGGCTGTGGAGATGAATGAAGGGGAGGGTGAGTAATGTCACGACCATATTGAAGCCACGCTCGATGCTGTTCAGGCAGCTCACCGTGACTGCCAACCCTGAAGGTGTGGGCCCTTGGCCATGTTCTTCTCGACCTCTTCATAAAGACCGGGCAGGTGGATGACAACGCCATTGCCAATCACACAATCGCACTTGGCGTGGCCAATACCACTGACGCAGATGGTGGCGAAGAGGCGGGAAGGTGAGGCTCGAGCCGCCCCGACGGGTGGTGAAAAACAACGGCCGAGGGTTTGGGCTTGACAACGGGATTCCAGCTTACCTGGGCAACAGGTGAAAGTCGTAGCTGATGTTATCGACCACGACCGTGTGACCAGCATTGTTACCGCCGGCAAAGCGGGCCACCACATCGGCGTCCTGATCATGAAAGAGCACGATTTGATAGGGTGAAGGCAGAGGATGAGCCCCCCGCAACCGCGCAATGTTGAATGGGATCGGCTGGGCACATGGCTGTCATGACGAAGGCAGATCGCGTTCATAGCTCGTACCTCGGCTAGAACGTCAACAAGTTTGCCTTTGCCTTCATCGCCCCACTACACCAGCGCCACGGTCAGGTCGGGGACGAGGGGCGTTTGAGGGCAGTTCACGTTGCTAGCCAGCTGACTGGCAGTTCACCTTCCGTACCTGAAGGCCGAGGACGACAGCGACCTTTTGCTGAGCCATCGCGGCTGATTCGGTAATGTACAAGGGAACTGCGTGGCAGAGACGGGGTTTCAGGAGTGCCAGGGTGTGTGAGACGGGTGCCACCCAACTTCACCGTCGGCCATTGAGAGCGAGCCGGCACGAGAATAAACGAGGATGGCACAAAAATGCACAAATCTACCAGAGGTCAGCCCCAACCAAGTATCCAACCGCCACAGCGCTTGGCAATGTCAACCGAGCAAGCGAACGTGCTTTGCCGGAGGGAGCGCTGAACCCGCAAGCCAGGCAAGCCAGGCGGCGGCAAAAGCAGCAAGATGAGGCGAGCAAGTTGGGAAAAAAAAGGAAGGAACAAATAGAGGGTGTTGTTGTGGCAGCCCGGTTGATCAGAGAGGGGCTGTGCTGGCGCTCAGAATACCCCTGGAGGAAAGGCAATCCTCAAGCGGATTCAGAGATGAGGTCCCTGGTTGGAGTTGTCAGATAAAACGAGGCGTGGTCTGTCACTCCTTGCGAAACCGCCTGTCAATTGTCGACAAACGGCATCAGCTGCATGTGCCTGGATGTCGCAAGCCCCAACTGCTTTACCCTCACCATGTAACACTACCACAACGGCCACTGTGCGACTGTGGAGGGATCGTGACCACAGAACCTGTGTTGTCAGCAAAAGTGTGGCTTGCAAGCGGTTCGAGCCGGTGGCCTGGGAGACTACCAAATGTCCATCCTGGCCGCCACTGAGAAGAAAAGACGAAGAAGACCAGAGGGGAAAAATAGGGGTTAAAGTGATTCAAAAATTGACCCCGCCCGCGACCTGCTTGAACCTGAGCCTTTGGATTTTATTTTCTCGCCCAAAGTTGCGCCCCGCCCGGACCCGATTGACCGTTCCGTGAGTTCTTGCGACCTCTTGTGCTTGGTCGTTGTGATGGTAGCTCAGCTTGGGAACAGGGTGTATGTGTGTGTGTGTGTGTGTGTGTGTGTGTGTGTGTGTGTGTGTGTGTGGGCGCGCGCTGGTTGCGGGTGCTGGTCTTGCGGCCGTCCAACAGGGTTTCTGGAAGGTCCAATGCAGCCCTGCTACTGCCCTCGTGTGTCCGTCTTCTGCTCGCTGCCTTGCATATGAGCCAGCCAGCGCGCTGCCCGTGCGCGCGGTAACCCTGACCTCGGGTCGCCGCGCCGGGGCTCGGGTCGAGCTCCAGGAGAAGGCCAAACATGAGCGGCGGGGGAGGGCATATGCATTGCACTTGGGGCTTTAAAAGAGGGGCAGGGTGAGGATGGTGGCTTCACGTTACAGGTTTTCGAAAGCGAAGCCCCTCACCTGCCAGTCTCGTCTGTTGCTGCACACTGGGGAAGATCGTATTCTGTTCATGCTGAGCACCCTGGCGCTGGCTTACGTCCAGTGCTCAGCTACGCATCAGCTTACCCTTTGTTTTGCCTGCATTTTGCTTGCCTCACCGTTACTGCCTCGCTGGCCACCGCCATTTGCTAGACGATGTTTGCTCGGCTTGCCTCGCGCACCCTGTCTCGTCAGGTACGTCCTGACTCCAGGGGCCACAATTCTAATTTTTTTCAGGCTTTGCAACGTTTTATCAGATGTCCCAGACATTTTTTTTTGCCCTGAAGGCCCAGTAACCACTTGATTTTCATGGTTTCACGTCCCCCGCGTGCTTGCGCACAGGTCCGTTGGGCCTCGACCACCGTCGAGTCAGCCTCGGAGATCCCGGTTCGTAGCTTCTGCTTGGTGTCTTGAACTACAAGCGCCCCAGCCGTTGCCATTGTCTCTTTTGCTTTGAGGCTCTCCGATCGATAACGCGTCCTTCTCGTCTTTGAACGTGTCTTCCCCTGCAGCAATGGAAGCGTCTCGCAGGCTCGGCTGCTATCCTGGCCACTGGCTGCACGGCCGCTGTTCTGCTCGAGGTGTGTCCCTGCCTTGCGCTCGACCTTGTTTAGGGATTGCTTCGGCAGCATTGCCATCAGCTAGGCGACCCTGATCGTGGCCTTGACAAGGTGACTGCGCATTTTTTATTGCCCAATTGGTCTCACGCCCCACCGCCCGTGTGATCTTTTCGCAGGAGATGCAATCCGTGTCGGCTGAAGACTTGGAGCTTCATCCCCCGGCATACCCTTGGGAGCACAACGGTCTGCTCAGCACCTTTGACCACGCCTCTATTCGTCGTGGTCACCAGGTCTACCAGCAGGTCTGCTCGGCCTGCCACAGCATGGAGCTGATTGCATACCGTAACCTCGTGGGTGTCTGCTACAACGAGGACGAGGCCAAGGAATTGGCTGCCGAGCAAATGTTCGAGGATGGACCCGATGATGCTGGCAACATGTTCAAGCGCCCCGGCAAGCTTGCTGATTATTTCCCCAAGCCCTTCCCCAATGAGGAGGCCGCCCGTGCCGCCAACGGCGGTGCTTACCCTCCGGATCTCTCCCTCATTGTCAAGGCCCGCCACGGTCGCGAGGATTACATCTTTTCAATCCTTACTGGTTACTGCGACGCCCCTGCTGGTGTTGAGGTTTGTCAATGTCAAGCACTTTTCTCCTGACCATGTTATTTCATTCTCAAACCTTGAGGCTTGAGCAATCGCAAACTCGTTCATTCACTGTTATCACCTCCCCCCACCCCCCTCTCTTGTTGTGTTGTTAGCTCCGCGATGGTCTCTATTTTAACCCCTACTTCTCAGGCCAGGCCATTGGTATGGCCCCTCCCCTTTACAACGAGCAGATTGAGTTTGAGGATGGCACTCCTGCCTCAGTTAGCCAGATGGCCAAGGATGTTGTCACCTTCCTGACCTGGGCCGCAGAGCCCGAGCACGATGACCGCAAGCGCATGGGCATGAAGTCCATCGTGCTTCTCAGCTTTGTCGCTGCCGGTCTCTGGTACTACAAGCGACACAAATGGACTGTTCTCAAGAACCGTGTCATCCAGTACAAGCCTTAAGCTGCCAGTGGCATTGATGGTGTAACTTCGTCCCCACCAGCTTTTTCTTACCTCCTTGTTGTGTCCACGCTTTCTTTCTCTCTTTTTTTTTTTTCTCTTGGCCACCTATCGCTCGTGTGCGCCTGTGCGTGCCTGTTGTCTGTTTTCCATGTTTGCTACCCTCTTAGTCTGGGTCTTGAGATCTTTGCTCATGATGATGCCTTTTCGCTTGGAAAGCCAAAGAGGCCACTCATCACCTTTAGCAGCCCAGCTCCTCCCGTGCCGCACCCCGCCCAGACGGTGGCACATGCTTTTTTGCTTCCTTTCTTTTTCATGCATTTTTTTGCCTCTTAACCACCTCTCCTGTGCCTCCTTTTCCTACCCCACCGAACATCCAAACTCTTGCCGCCTTTCCCATGACCTTGCGACCACAGTCGGTTTTGCTCGGTTGGCCCAGCAAGTATTGAAATAATTCAAGCCATAAAAATCGATTCAAACATGTCGGACTTGCCTTGCTATCCAAATCCCGCATTCAGCGATAAACGGGATGAGTTTCCGCTGGGAGGAGTGGGACGTCGGGGTCTGATGATACGGCCAGATTACCTGCCAGGCTACATGGGGGCGTGTCGTCTCGAAACAAGGGACGTCGTAGTTTTTTTTCAGAAGCATTGACAACAGTATGGGCCGGCTGCGCGCTCTTGGCCCGTGTCCGTTTGACCTTTGGGGAATACACGGGCTGTGGTCCAAGCGTCTCGGTCTCGACCGTGTCTTCTTGTGCAGGGGGTTGGCTGGCAAAGACCATCCGCATATCACCCACGAGGTGCAGGGCACCGCGGCTATTGGTCTCAAGCTGAAGATGGATTGAGTAGGTCAGGACTCGACGTGTCTCGGTGTTGGCTCGCCGTACATATGTGCGCTGGCGCAGAAATGTTCGGCTACCGGCTGGCATGTCCTGCAGGTTATAAGGGACCAAGAACACCTTGACACCCGTGTGCTCCGGGTTGCTCACGACGACTTGCACGCTACCCCTTCGCGCAAGACGGTACCTGCCGCGTGGTCGTTGACCTTCAAGGGCGGCTCGTAGGTTGACGTGGGCCACGTATGGTGGCATCCAGCCTTGGTCCGTCCGACTCAAAGGCTCTACAAAATGTGCCTTGAGGGCAAACTTGACCTGGCGCAGATCTGCACCGGGCCCCGTGCCGGCGATCTTACACGTAAAGCCCACCACTGGCGTGCGCTTGCTGCTGGGCACAGCATTCCCCAGCAGTGATTCCTATGATGGCATGAGCACCAGTGAGTGCGACCAAGGGGGCAGCGGCAAAATTTGAGCGCGGTGCATGAGACGACGGCAACGAGTCTGTTCGGGTCAGGCGTAGCAAGCAAACAACTCCACCTCGGGCCACGGGACATACCTCGAGGCTAGGGCGAAAGGCCCCCGCAACTTTGACAAAGGGGGGTTGATCGGCCACGGTAGCAGTGGGTCGCAGCGGCGGAATGTGTCCCAGGGAGCGTCGGGGCGGCGAGATCAGTCCCTGCAGGGCTAGCGAGTGTGTAGGAAGAAGGTTGTCCTCCCGTTCTGGGCTCACGGCCAGCCCCGTCATGCACCGAAGGCGGCTGGGATGCGTTGGGCTGTGGCGAGGTGGGGTCAGGCCGTATGACTCAAGTGTTGGGCTGAGAAGTGCCAGTTCCAGTTCATCGCGAGTCTCGGGCTGGGTCAAAGTGCGGCGCACTGGGGTTGCAGGCACCGAAATTGGCGCTGCGGCGTCATGCTCTTTTCGAGATGGTTTCGGCAGTGACCCTCTCGCACCAAGAGTCGAGGGCGCTTCAGTCGAGTCGGCCGATGGGAAAAACGTGCCAAAGGCCAACGGTGAGCGCTGGGGCGATGTAGGTGGCGACAAGGCACTCAAACGATGTGAGGTACAACACCGGTTCTGTGCCAGTTCCTCTGGCTGCTCTGGCTGCTTGGGCACGGTCGGTCGCGTTTCACGGGGCAGCTGCGGGCTGGCGCGCAAAGATTCAGCTGATTGAGCAGACGCAGTCGCCTCCTTGGGCTGTCTTTTGCTTTGTGCAGCAAACAGAGTCAAGGCTACGGTGGCCCAGCCTGACGGCGTGGCTACCCTGGCCTGCGGCAGGGTGGTACGGCGCCATTGGGAATTCTTCAGAAGCTGTGGCAGCAAATCAAGGGCAGCCGGCAGCGCGAGGGGTAGCACGCGACAGTGTGTTTTATCCGCTTGCTGGCTCAAGGTCGAAAAGTGTAGCACAGAGTTGACCGCGGCCTGCGCTGCCATTTGCGTCGCGCGGGCATGGCTTGCGTCGAGCTCGGGACGCGCCTGCGTTGGCTGCAACACCGGGTTGCCCACGCCCGGCGTGGATGTCAAACCATCCGCACTCAGTTCGAGAAATTCCGCTGTGATTTTATCGGGAAAAATGACTTGGGCCAACCAGACTTCAGCCGAGTTCCATTGCGGTTCAGAGGACGTGGTTGACTCAAAGTTTTCAGAAGCCTCCACGCGCAAAGCAAAGCCGTCCACGGAAATGTCGCGCGGAGCCAATTTGTGACCAATGTCATCTGTCTGAGCATCTCCCTGCGCTGGCACGCTCCGCGCAGCCGCAATCTGCCGAGCGACGGCCTCCAAGTAGGCAAGGCAATCGATGGCCGGAGAATGGCGCATTTGGCTTGCTCGGCGCGAACATTGCGCCGTCGGAGTTGGGTGAAGCAACGCAGGAGTCGTGCTGCTGTCGGAGGAGCGTGTGGCCTGGAAGCAGCCAAGACGAGGCGGCAACTTGGATCGCGGGGCCATTTGGCTGCTTGCGCCCTGCAAGGGCATGGGGCCGTCCGTCGGCATGGCTGGCAATGCTGGTAGTGGAGGGCTGGTCGCCCCAGCAGACCCCGAAACCCACACCACTCAGCGCTTTGGCAGGGAAAAGGAGCCTACGCTTTGTTGCCCAGACATGAACCAGGTGCCCAAACGTTGGGAGCGTGTTTGTGCACTCGCACCCGCAAGCCGTCGCCTATTTTGGCCGTTCAACGAGTGACGACAATGGCCGCCAGCGCCGACGAACGTTGCGCTTCAACCTGACCAGAAGCGCCGCAGGCTGATTGACTGATGATGAGATTGCTTTTTGATGATGTTGTTGAGCGATGATGCGGTCAAACAAATGGTACAAGAGCAGAAGCAACAACAACAAGAGAGAGAGAGAGAGAGAGTGTGTGTGTGTGCACACGCAACCCCCTCCCTTCCTTGTTCCCGGCAGATGTCATCATTTTTGTCTTGAGACTCACACAAGTTTGTGTCGTCACGCGTGTGGGTCGACAATCAACACGACCGCTTGCAAACCCGACATGATGGGAGGTGCAGTGAGTCAAAGAGTAAAGAATCGATTCTTTCGAGCACAAGGCGTAGGGCAGACAATCGCAGATGGGTTGCCATAGACATGAACATCGGACATGAACATAAGACACACGCGCACATCTGCTCGAACAGTCATGTGTACAGGCTGGCACGCCAGGAAAGGCAGGTCCAAGTCAAACAATACAGTGTGCGTGCACTTTGATTGCACGACAAAATCCATCCCGTGGCGTTTTCTTACACACTACCATAACACTTTTTAATGTCCTCAAGCTGCAAAGCCATCATCAAGATTTATTGTTGTGAGACAGTGAAATTGAAGAAAAGAAAAAAAAAGAAAAAAAAAGAAAGAAGGAAAAAGCAGTACAGGGGATGCCCATAGCAAGCACGACCAGGTGCGCGACTGACCATGCGCTTGCTGTCCTGAACGTAGTCAATCGGAACAGCCGAGGCAACACTGACGCGCAGGCGCGATTGGTCATTGTACGTGTCTGTGCGGGCCCGGCAGCGGAATGTCCAGGTCTTAAAAGTGGCATCCGCCAGCGCAGTTGTGAAGCGGGGGTCGCTGTTAGCCGACCAGGAACCAATTTCGTCTGCCGAGTGGCCCAGGACGCTCTCAGCCACCTCTGAAAAGGACTGCAGCCACTGAGAGCCGCTAAAGTCACCAATGCTGAACGAGGTCAAGAGTCGGTACTTGAATTCCTTGTAGCTCTTGGCGCACTTTTGGCACTCATAGCTGCCATCACTCTCCTCAACCACCTTCTTGTTACAAGTTGGGCAAGCCTGATAGTAAATGTTGTCCGACTTGACGTATAGAATAGTGCCCGTCACTTGAAAAGCAACGCTCTTGTCGTCAGGCAGACCCACCGTGGCCTCCTACGCTCGACATGACGAGACAACAGCCACCCCAAAGCGAACAAGCAGATGCATCCATGAGCTGAGATGATTGAAAGCTCCCCACGCGTAAACAAAAGAAGGAAGATTTACACCTCACAGAAGGAACACGGGCATGTGCGGAGACACATGCCATGTACAATCACCCGATAGTTTGAAACGCCAGTCAACTCGACACTCGCGAGAGCAGTGATCAGGGAGACAGCGGTTGGTCGCACCTTGAATTGGCTAATGCTGACCACAGGCGCGTCGCTGATGCCAGAATTGCGTACTGTGAGTGTCTTGGGTGCACTGTTCACACCTTCCATGTCATACCTGCCGGGCATGATCAAACAGTGAGATGCCAGAATTGTCGGGCGTTCCATTTGTCAAACCCCATGCACACCCTGCTCCGTGATCCAAAAATCAGTACGCACCAGCCCTTCAGCTCATGAGCTTCCTTCAAGTCGGGGTTGATGCTGTAGTTGCTGTTGCTTGCCACCGACAGAGAGCGGCCTGCAGCGAGAGGGTACAGCCATAAGCACGAGCCCGAAGAAATTTGCCTCCCCGCGATCATCACGCCGCCGCATCACGCCGCCGCCACTACCACCACCACCACCACCAAAAAAACAAAAAACAAAAAAAAAACAAACAAAAAAAAACAAAAAAAAAACAAAGCTCAAGACAGTGTGAACGCACCGTTAAAGTCAGAGATACGAGCAGCTTTGATGGCCATGACCACACCAGGGTGACCTCCGGCGTCGACAAATCCCTCAGCTTCCTTGCCCCACAGCGTGCAGGAAAGCGAGACATTGTCCTTGTCAACAAGTGTCACCTCACGCTTGGATAGTTCTGCGGTCAACCAATCGATGACAGCGCACCTTCAACAGTGAGCATGTTCACGACTGCAGCAAAAGCCAAGGATTCACGGGCAGTCCTAAAAATTCGTAAAACATACCCTTTTGTGCTGCACGCGTGACAATGGTGGTAACATCGGCCACCTCCTTGATCACGGCCAGGATATCGGCGAATGCCATTGTGTCGCGAGTAATCGGCATGGCCTCCAATTCAGCAAAGGACTTGAAGTTGTACTGTAAGAGCCGGCAAAGGTGGAGGCGATGAGAAAAAAGGACCACCAGATCGGCCCTGTGGATGAGCAGCGCTCTGTATTGGGCAAAAGGGCTCAGCCATGTGCGATGGGACATGAGACATGCCTTTTGTTGGGGCACCGCACCCATGTCCTTGGATTCGGTGACGGTGGTCGTGGAGTCAAACGTGATTTCATATTCATGACTGAGCTGGTTGAAACGGCGGTTCTTGGGTTTGATGCGCCCACCCTGAATCATGTACACCTGTATGTGCCAAACAGCATAGAAGAGATGGTACAAAGATGGACAGTGTCAGTCAGCTGGATCATTCTAAAAAAAAAAACAAAAAACAAAAACAAAAAATAACAACAAAGTAAAACAAAGCATAAAAACAAAGGGCGCTGACCTTGTTCTTCTCAAACAACGGGTAGAGGCGATCGCAGTCAGCGTTGAAGCCGGTGGCCCGAATTTCACCCGAGGCATCGACCAGATCGACCGAGAAAATCTTGCCCTCACCTGTGTGCATCAACCCGAAGCAGCACGGCAGACACGAATTTGAGCAGACACAACCTGACCAGGTCAAGCTCTGACATTGTGTTCGGCAGGATGTGGCAGGGGCATGAGCACGTACCACGATCCGAGTTGTAGGTGCGAATCGGGGGCTTGGCAACCACGCGGACGCGGATGGCCCAGCGACGATCATAGGGGTTGAGCGACGTGAGAGGAATGGCACGGTCGTCTCCACCAAAGGCGGGCAGAGGCGTCTTGGCTGAAGCTTTGCGATAAGGGTTCTCGGGGGAAGCGTGCTTGGCCGCGTTGGTGGGGGCCTCGGTTGACGCCGTGGTACTCGCTGTCGCCGCCGATGACTCCCCAGCCGCAGCACCGCTGGCGCTGTCCACGCTTTCCGGGTTGCCTGATGTTACAAGGAGCGCAAACGCGGCGGCATGGCAGAAAAACAAGGGGCAGTTTAGGCAAACGGGAGTTGAATTCACGCGTATATATTCCGACGTGACGTACCAATGACCCCATCGTAGTCTGAAGCCACGACCTCAACGTCCAGCAGAATAAGAATGCGACGGTTGGATACGAGGTTGCACACGCCCTGCTTCACCCGCACGATCGAGTTGACCCGGATGTAGTCGTTTTGAATCAAGTTGTTGAGCTGTGTGGCCAGCATTGCCGAGTTGTGCTTGTACTTGCCATCGCTGATGCTCAAGCTGCATGGCGTCCACGTCCCGACGATGTCAGTCAGTGCGTGGTACGCTTGGCGAAAACGAACTGCGAAAAAAGCCGGGCCAATGCTGTTGTTCGCACTCACCGATAGCGGTCGGGCTTGTCGGATCCGGGCTTGGAAGGGATTTGCTTGTACGACTGCGACATGTTCCGGTCGCAAGGTGAGCACAGTAGGACAAGCCACCAATAGCAAGCGACTCGAGGCGAGCGCGACATGTCTATGGAACCTACCACAACTTGAACGATGCCTGAGGGGATTTCGCCCTGCTCAGCCACCATCTTTTGGACCAGATTTGGGGTCAGGTCCACGCTCATGGTGCCGGTGTGCTTGATCTCTGCCAACTGCAAAGGAGACGAACAAAAAGGTATATCTGACGAGCCACCAAGTCAAGTCGAGACCCGCCGATCACGAAGCGTCGTTCAAGGCAACCGAGTCGACTCTACAAATGGAAGAAAAAAAACACACACACACACAACACACACGCAAAAAAAAAAAAAAACCGCGCGCGTGTGTTGTTGATGCAGCGACTCACTGCAAGTTTTCGTCGACAAATTCGTCTCCTGAAAAGCGCGCGAAACGCTTTGAGTGGTCTGCATGAAGAAAAACGGATTATAACGGCTACTTTCTGAGCCAAATATCTGAATTGGTTTACATTGAAAAAGCGAGACAGGGTGATAGTAGTTTTAAAATCTGACAATCAGCCGTTAACTGGCCACAGTCTGTGAAAGCATGTATCACTCTGTGTCAGTTTTTACACCTTGAACGATACTTGTTCTCTGCAAAAAAACTGGCGCTGAGACCGTTACAACTTGAGAGAGGAAAAAAAAAAAACCGCGCAGTTTCAGTCCACACACACACACACACACACACACACACATCTCTTCTTTCTTGTGTTCGGAACCTGGCGCCATCGTTTGCGGTGGAACTGGCGCATTTTTTACGGCTTGATTGTGTGCTTTGGTCCTTTGTCGCGGGACAAGATGGCCCCCACACCGACAATGGCCACCGCGGTACCCGCTGAGGATGCCACACCCAAGCCTCGCGCCCTTTATGGCGAAGGCATCACGCTGGTTGCCTTTGATCGGCAGGGGTACGCGTTCATGCTTCTGCCTCAAGATTGCCCCCGCCCTTTGCTTGCTGCCCCCCCCCCCCCCCCC